CAAACCCAATGTCTTACCAATATAAAGGCATGTTAGGCCATAATAAATTGGGACTCAAACCCAACTCTTATCATTATGGAGCATCAAGACTTGATCCCGATGTCTTACCCTCAATCAATGGCATAATAGGCTAAACAATATTGAGATTCATTCTCAAGCCTTAATTTCAATCACATGCCAAGAAAGTTATACACAACTAATTTGCAACTTAGCAAATCAAATTTGCTTTCTTAAATAAGTGTACAAATCTCAAATCAGCGTAAAGCTTTATTAATTATTTGTAGCATCTATATGAAATACAATCGTTTGTAGTCAGAATATTTCTTCTAAATTCTATTAGAGTTTAAAAGGATCATAAAATTATTGTCATAATATTTATTGACTCTCTCTCAAAAATATTGTTGTTTTCGGGGTATACCCTACCTATTGGATTTGATTTAACGCCATGACTTTCCTTCACTCAATTCAACCAAGCAATTAGTGAATAAATTTATCAAAAGTACATCATATAGGTAACAACACATATATAGTACTAATACATAAATTCAGCATTTATATTACCTGAAAAGTGACATTATAGGTAACAACTTACCAGTTGTAGCTTGTGCATCATTCATATAAAATACTTGAAAATGGTAAGTCAGTAGCAAGCATCAAGTAGGTCATGGATACTCGAAAATACCTCTTCTAGTAGTCATACTAATCACTGTTTGCTTTCAAATGATACGACCATAAATTATGAAGTATACTTTCTCAGTAGCTGATTTGTTTTCCAAATTTCAAAGAAGTAATTAATCAACCTAGATAAAGATGTGAAGTACTTCTTGTTTTCTTCAAGATGATTTATTCTTCTAATCAGTATGATAATTTTTTTTATTCTCCCCTTTTTTACTATATGTAAGTGCAAAAATCCAAAAGGAAAAAATATTCATCCAAGTAAAAGAAAATGTTAAAAGCGGTAGGATAGATTTAAGATAGTTAACACACAAATATGCATAAGACAACTTATATAACATATCTTTGGTTACCATGACATGCCTCATATCAACAATTAATTGCTACTATGATTTTCACATATAGAACTTCGAAATTTTTTATTCCATTCATGTGATATGGATGATGTAATATTAATATGTGCTTATGCAATACATGTATGGTACGAAGTTGTGTGCATATGAGATATTAAAGGATGACAAGTATAACATAATTATACCTTCTTACGTTCCATTACTTACCATATGTAGTTTCTCTTTACATCTAACCATGAGATGATATGTATGACTTCTAATTGCAATCTTTCCGGATGTAGGAAATATTTTGAAGATATATATATATAATTGGTTAGAGACTCGTGCTGATAACGTGTTATGAAATAAAAGTAATTTAGTAAAACATGAACAAGAAATAAAAATAGAGAGAAGGAAGAGATTTTCTTCTTCAATTGTGTGTATTTTACTATCTATTACAAGGCCTTTATATATGCATAAATAGTGAAGAAAATATGTCATGGAATATGTCATTGAACATACAAAATATGTCATTGAATATATCATTAAGCATTTGAGATCAAGATCATGGAAGAAGAGTAGACATCCACCATAATGTGATATTTATCATAACAAAAATCTCTTTTTGGCATGAATATTCCTGACTATTATAGAGGCATATATTTTCCAAATGTTAATTAAGGGATATAATTAACACATGAGAAGTCAGAAACTTTTCCATAAAATATAAAGGATGTGATGTTTGATTATTACCAAATAATAAATTTTAGCTAGAGATTTGCTGTCTCTCTCATCAGCTTCTCTTTTTTCTCATTTAGCATTAATATGTTGGTGAAAGATTGAATTGGGTTCCATTTTATAAGTCTCAATGCAAAGATTAAAAATAGGGAAATGATCAGCTATGTCCATTTATAAGTAGCTCATTACAAAAATTGGCCAATTGATAAAATATTACTAATATTAGCCAAATTAGCCAATTAGCTATTTGTAGCAAAAAAAAAATTAAATTTTTGCTTTGTTTTGAGTGGGTGCTATTAGAATAAATTGGGCACAACTTAAGGAGCTTGAATCTCAGTTTTGGGATGATTTGGTGAAGTTTTGAAGTGGTTTGAATTGAAAATTCGAAGTAAAAACTGAACATGAAAAAAATGATATGTGTATCACACTGCATATCATTTGTGTATCACATATGTATCATATTTGTATCAATTATGTATCACATGTATATCCATGTATACCTGTGTGTGAGATACATGCGTGATACATGTTTGATACATGTGTCGCAGAAGACTTTTTTGAACTCGATTTAATTACGAATTTTGATACAAAACCAGTCTAAATCACCTCCAATCTTCCTCAAATTTTGTATATTGACTTATCTATATATTTTCAATGAATTTCAACTATACCCATTGAAAAAGTTTCTTTTTTGTTTAGATTTTTGGAATATTGTATATATTTTTGTATTTCATCACCTTATTTGTTACTTCATCCATGAAATTTTCTTTCCGTCTTGTATCTAGTGTTGTAATCACGCTTAAAAATATGGAAGGTAATTTTTGCATGTAATTTTTGAGAGAAAGAACCCTATTATTTGGTTTTTCAATTTTTATTAGTTAGTTTTAGTAAGTCTATGACTAATGGCTAGAGGTTGGTAAGTTGAGATTTATTTGGGACATTTGTGTAAGTTTCCCTTAAAAATACTCTAAACTATATAATGATGCGAATAAGCTTTACATAAACCTTATGTGATAATTTCTTCTTTATTGCTTTCAAGTGTATCCATATATAAGAAGATTGTTTAGTAAAAAACGAGAATGCAACTACAATATTTATTTCTTTTCTTTCTTGTTTAGTGAAGATTGGATCTTAGAGAAAATTGTACCAGAATTTCAGAGGTGCAATTCAAATACTCAATGTTTATGTGTAAACGTTATCGCTATAAACACCATGACATTTGTTCTTCCTAGACCTTATTAATGCGTTTTGCTTTGGGTGAATTCTATCAAATAAAGATAGACCAAATGTGAGGGACAGAGACGAATTTAGGCCAGGACCAAAAGAAGTTTGATCAGTATTAGAATAAGAGTAACTTCATAATTCATACATGCATGTCTTTTAGCTTGCAATATTACATAACAAAGAGAGTTCAAATCTGCAAAAATATCACCTTAATTATGCAACATATATATAGGGAAAAAAATGTAACCTGTCAGGTGTTAGTTTTGTGAAAGAATTTGAATATTTAACCCAACACTTTAAAGCAATAGGTTGGAGTGGTCCATAAAATTGTAAACTGTTAGATTAATTATCAGTAACAAAGATTTGTGTCTTTTTGGAGAAGAAAACAAAGGAAGAAGTTTCTGCTGTATTTTTTCTACAAGGACTTTGTAGCATTGCCTTAAAGCTTCAGCTACCAAGGCACATCAAGTAGAATTAAACAACTTTTATACTGAATGTTTTCAAAAACTTGTGTTGTGCTTCCATTGATCCATACTTTCTGGATGTATATAGAATATATTTTCGTCTTGAATTATATATCTAAATTGTTCTATCAACACTTTTCTTACTGTCCAAAATGTGAAAAGATTTGTGTTCTTAACTCCTTTCACTCCTCAAATATGTTTAACTATGTTTCCAGGTTCCACACACGGTAATATTCAGAAGAATCTTTAGTACCCAAGTTGTACTGCAATATGAGATTTCATTTCTCTTATTTATAGTGTTGAATCTGCAAATATATTTGTCGATGAAGATGACAAATATAGTACTCCATATTATAAGTTATATCTAAACTTTGTTGTACCACGCCCTTGCGCGAAAGATATGGAACTGTATTCAAGAATTATGAGGAGCGGCCAGTTAGTTCATCAAGTTTGGACACCTCGACAAACTCATGCATTCTCTATCCAGTGTCCGACTAGGATGCCTACTTTATTCAATAACTGCAAAATCCGTGGACCATATATCATGAAAATCTTCTGGAATCTACAATGGCTGATAGAAAATACTTTACTTGGGATAAAGATTAAAGGGGGTTGATCCCAAAGTTTATCTCCTCAAGAAAAGGATATGCAAAGAGAAAGAGAGCATAAAGTGTCTATTGGTATAGATTGTGTTTAGAGAAAGGCATAATGAAAAGACAAGATATCCCATTGTTTAATCAATGCCTTTGTGACATCCAGAGAATTGGTCTAAAAGGGCCGGACCACAAGGCTAAGCTGCCTTTGTGACATCAAGAGAATTGTACTAAGATGGTGCTATGCGCGGGATCCGGGGAAGGGCCGGACCATAAAGGTCTAATGCAGCCTTACCCTGCATTTCTGCGAGAGATTGTTTTCATGGATCGAACCTGTGACCTCCTGGTCACAAAACAACAATTTTACCAGTTACGCCAAGGCTAACAACAACAACAACAATAAAGACAACAACATACCCAATATTATCTCACACTGTGGGGTCCAGGGAGGATAGTGTGTACGCAGACCTTACCCTACCTTATGAGGATAGAGAAGCTGTTTCCAATAGACCCTCGACTCAGAAAAGCATAAGCACGCCAAGGCTAACAAAAATCCAGAAAATTGGTCTATAGTGTTAAAGAATGTATAAATAATTCAAACATGACACTAAACTCTGTATAAATAATTCAAACATGACACTAAACTCTAAGACAAACAAGTCAAAAAGCAACTAAAATTAAAACTTAAATCTCTATTCACCACTTTCTGCAGTGTGTAGGGAACAATTGTTTATATGGAATTGAAAGTAGAAGGATGGTAACTTACCAAGTTGTAAAGCAAACATTTTATCTTTTCTATCCAAAAGGAAGCATATATTCATATTCTACTTTTTGAAAGAGCCTCAAACAAGCATGAATAAGATTCTTGGAAGTGCTAAAAGGTTTTCTATAAAAGCAAAGATCACTTGGCATCACAAGTTTCTTCAATCACAAAACCATTGCAAACTCATCCTTTTGGCTATCTTTGAACTAAAATGAAACATGCCAAAGTTCTTTCACTAGCTCTCATAACAACAAAATGGTCTATTTTGCTCCTTTGTGTTACATTTTCTCAAGCAAATTCTCAAGAAACTAATAATAATACACAAGCAGGCTTACTCTGCATAAGTGATTGTTCAACATGTCCTGTTATTTGTTCACCACCACCTTCCCCTATCAAACTCAAGCCACCACCTTCGCCATCATCAGTACTAGTACAAGCACCACCACCGCCACCACTTTTCGCCCCACTCCGCCCCTCGCCATCTCAGTCTTCTCCCCGTTCACCATCACCCTCCTCGTCACAGCCATCACCTAAATCTCCACCACCATCTTACATTACATATACTGGTGCTCCTCCTCCTCCTTCTCATTCTTCTAATTGTCCTACACCTCCTAGTTCTCCTAATATTATCAATATACCAGCAACTCAGGCGCCACCGGCCAATGGACAGAAGAATTACCCTTACTACTATTTTTATGTTTCAAAGGCAACTTCTTTTCCACTTCATGGCTCCATTATTATTGGATTTTTGGTGGTCTTTCATTTCTTATGCATTTGGTGAAAAGAGAAGCAGGGTATAATTCTTGAAAATCAAGATGGTATATGTATATTTTTTATTCTAGGATATTAGAAAGAACAGTGGTTTTTCTTGACTGGTATCATAATTGTATTTATTACTATATCACATTTTTCAATTCATCTACTAGTATCATTTGAGAAAATGAACGCATTTATGTAATTTTTTTCTTGATCTATTTCTTATCTGTTCCAATATGATTGAAATTGGGTACATATTATCAATAAAACAATGTTCATACGTATGACTAGATTGTTCTCTACAGTCAACTTCAAGATTGCCAAGATGAAAGAATCTGGATTTGGCTCTAACTTAGCTCATCAAATTGAACTTGTAAAAGTTGTTGGAAAGAATGACACACGATAGTAGAGTTGAGCTGAAAAACCATATAAGTATTGATGTGTGTATCACTGATCATACTTGGCAATGGTTTGGATTCCCATAATGCTGAAGCTTTCTCGCTTAAATGGCTCAAAGGCCTAAATATTGATCAGGTGATGGTTGAATTCTATTGTCAATAGGTGCTCACTGCTCTTAATTCAAATTTGTCTGAATTTGGTACCATCATTTGGCATGTTAGAGGCCTAAAGCCAAGACGTAATAAGAGACCTTAAACTTGTTTAATAATTTTAAATATTTCTGTTGAAGTTTATTCTTTTTATTTTTCGAGATGCAATTACATCTTGACGATGTAACTAACCCCTTTAATCTCTGTTAAAACATTACTAACATTTGATAAGATTTTATTAAGTTTAATTTTTAATTTTTTTCTTTTTACATGACCATCAACGTAACTCACTATATAACATTGCCTCCCAAAGTAACAATCATGTAAAAATTTGTATTTAAAACGATGATAAATATTTTACGATCTATTTAGCTTGAAGCATGTCTATTGAGATTTTGAAAGAAAATATCTTACAAATTTAGATCTGTAAATAAAATTTATTCAAGTTGGAGGAAGAAGAACTAGAAAGTAACTACAGATTTAATTGTCTTTCACTCTCATTTGAATTTTCTCAATCAACTCCGAAAAAAGACAATGTAAAATATAAAACTATATTATTAATGATTGGTGACAAAGTAGCAAAAGATAGTTGGAATTTTTTTATCACTATTTAATAATAAATACAATAAATATTTAAATTACGTATAAAAAGAGTAACTTTTGGGACCTCCAATTTTGGGAGGCCTAAAGCGGCCGCTTTAGTGGACTGCGGGTTAAGCCGCCTCTGTCATTTGGGATTATCTGTCTTTGAAGAATCGATTTTATGATTTATCCTTCAATTGGACTAAGCAGGATGTGAATAAAACGTCTCACTCCCTTGCTCGAATAGCTTTATAGTATGAAACTCGTGTAATTTGGGATTTCTATACTTCATGTTTAACTTCTATTCTTTATTCTGTTGCTTCTCACTTGGAGAACATAGATAGTTCCTTGATGTAACTCTGTTTTGGCTGGGTTGTTTAATAAATATTTATTGCCTTAAAAAAGCTAAAATAAAATAAAAATACTCACATAATATAGCTCGAAGCAACTTAAAATAAGAACCTATTATTCCATTTTCCGTTTCCCTCCATTACATTAACCTAAAAATTAAGGACACTGTTAGAAAGAAAAGAAAAAAATTTGATCACACTAACGGGCCGGGCCTCGCGGTCCCGGGCTTCGTGGTCCCGGGCTCTGGCGGTCCCGGTCTTCGTGGGCCTAATGGGTGGAACCGGCCCGTGACGGGCCTAAGCCCACATGGTCCTGTGCTTAACGGGCCGGGCT